AGTTATCTGGCTACTTCAGAGATTGAACCCAGCCAGGCAGAAGCAGTAAAAAAACAGTTTTAAGTTCCCACATAATGCAGATGCAACACTTACTCTGTGTCTTTGCACTTGTTAGTTGGTTTTGAACATACTGTTGTAGTAATCCAGAATGCAGATGAGGCCTCACGCTGACTACCTCTTGTGCAATAAAACCAAGCTCATACAGTAGTTACTGTTAATTAGTCAAGCATCTTTTGATCACAGGATTCAGGGAAGTGGTGGTGGGGGAATAGTAAACAAAAGGAATTAATTTGATGAAGACTTTACTCCAGTGATGTATGTGGTATACACAATACCCATAATATCAACTCCAACTGAGGGAAGCCCTACAGCTTCTGGTAGGAAATAAAAGGTGAACTTGGCTATGCTGTAGTTTATGTTGTGCTCTAAAATGTAACAAAAGATGTCATCTGTTTCCTTCAGGCTGAGCCAGATTTACCAGGATATTGTGTCCAAAAAACACACACACATTTCTAGTTTTTAAGGAAACACGATGCTCTTTTACCTGTTGCAATGTAATTGGATAATGCATGTACAAATGACTTGTTTAGCCTGCCAATGAATGTTGCTAATGCCTTACCAAAAACAAAGCATATTTTTTGTATTTTTTTCCTCAGAGGCAAATCAAACAATGCTAGATTTGGGAAACTGTTTACTGAAAAGCATTTTCTAATAGATCTCTGAAGAAGTGCAATTGTATAATTATTATTGTTCAGTGCATACAGTACATTGTCTCCATCACTCTGTACACTGCTGCTATTAGTGCTTGTTCTAATAAATCTCAATGTACACTGTTTAAACTGCTGTCATCTGTGTTCTGATTTATTAACATAAGAAACACTTTAGAATATGGTTCTTGAAAGAATTGTTTGTAACTAGTTAAGTGAATTGACAATCATAAAATTATTAATATATATTGTATAGATTAACTTTGGAGAAGTGGGTGATAGTGGCAGCAGTAGCAGTGAAACAGCGACTTCTCGCTAGTATCATTCTGTTCCTTTCTAACCTTTTTCTGCTACAGGAATATTTTTATAAAACTTTTCCCATGCCATTCTCTGTGCAGTTCCTTTAAATCTGGCAGGAGCTACCAACTGCAGTCTCAAAGAAGATAATTTTCTTTTTGACAGTTCCTGGTTTTATCTTCATGCTACAGCTGGTAAGAGCCTGTTGCCTTTTTTTTTTTTTTTTTTTTTTTTCACTTTAGCTTGCTCTTTATGATTAAAGGGAGCTTGCAGTATGTTTCTCAAGTTTTGTGAGAGGGTGTAGGGAAAATGGCTCCTGATGTTCTCTAATAGAAATGAAAAGTGGTGTGGAAATAAAAAAAAAAAAAAAAAAAATTGCTTGACACCCACCCCTTCTGGCACCTTGGGAAAATAACAGTATGTGCAATTTCTCCATTATGTGTTCTTGTCAGTTGTTCAGTCCTTAAATCAATTTCATTTTATTTAAAATACAAGCATAATAGAAAACAAGAATTTGGTTGGGAGGAAAAAATAAGGGTTTTTTTTGTTTCTTAGCATTGTAAAAAGAAAACGTGTTCAAAAAGTCTGGAATCCTGCCTGACTGGAAGCAACAGCAAAGGAGGGGAAAACAGTTTTTTCATGAATGGAAATGCTTTATTTCTTGTGTCAGAGTACACATCTGATCTTGTCCAAAGCGATTCTCTGAGCCAGGTTGTACACTGGGAGCTTATTCCCTGTTAAAAAATTCTATGAGTGAAATTCAGCTCTGGTTTTACATTTGTGTAGCTGGTATTTGTACTGTGTTTCTGCATGCTTTGCAAAACAAATCTAACGCTTTTTGATGACTGTTGTTCAGCAAAATTATTGTGCATAAGTGAAGGGTGAAAAGTTATATGTCATTACTTTATTAATTAAAAAAACCAACACAACAAACCTTTGGGAATAGATTAGCGTGCAAGAGGCCTGTGAGGCAGCACTACCAACCTGACACGTGATTTAGTATAAAAACTATTACTTAGGTATGGAAGTAAATTTTATGTTTAAATTTAATCTAAGCAAGAGACAGATGATACTTCTTAGCCACAAACATGTAGGTGCTGTGGTGTGGTGAAGTGAGACAGCGTGGGAAGCTGTTGACAAGATTTCATCCTGTCTCAGCTGAAGGAGTTGCCCACAGAAAGCTGTTTCAAGTTTCACTGCCAGGACAAAAATCTGTTCTGATGTGATGATGCACAGCATTTTTGCCCAGCCAACGTATCAAGCCACATGGTTCTCCAAATCCTTATTAGATTATTAAATATTTAAATTGGTCTGAATGTTAAAAACCGTGAGTATGCAATATTGACTGTTTCTGCACCTGAATATGCAAAATTATTTTTCAAGTAAGTAATCATTACTAAATCAGATTAAAAGAAACTAAGCTAAAATATCATTAAAAACTAATGAGGTACAGTGGGCTAGCTGAAAATGTAGAAAGTCTAAAGTTTATTTTGACTGAGTGGTGAATCTAATTTTACTCCAGCCAGTAAATGGTAAGTCTTATTTAGACTGTGCTTATTCTTTCTGAAATGTCTAAGATGTAACTATTAGTAGCTAAGAGACAGGCTAGGTTGTATATCCCATATCTATATTCCAAGTTGTGTATAATAATGGTAAATTTAAAAATAATTTGAAATATGTTAATGAAGTATGTATAAATGCATGTTACAGACATGAATCTGGTGTGAAGACATTTTTAACCTGTGATTATGTTACATTAGTTAACATTTGTAATTGCATAGAAAAGTTCCAAAGTAAAATCAAGTATGTAGTTGCTTTTCTCACTGATGACTGGTTATATTTCCTTCAGCAAAGAAATGAAACTAATTACTAGCTCAAATTTCATTAGTACCTCAGGTTTCTTGAGCAGCTTTTTGGCAAGTCAGTGGAGAAAAAAGTATAATTAAACATTTCCAAAAGGTTACACTTGTTGGACTCTAAGTGGACTACAGGTTCTAGTAAGGGCATTGAGTTATTTTTTAACTGATAAAATTTAAAGTGTAGATTATGTTTTAAGTTCTTAGGTTATTTTTGAGGGCCTGGCATTACGTTTAGCAAAGATATTGAGGTGATATAGCACAAGGGCACATCCATTCTTCAGTTCTAGAGCTGATTTCATTTAAATGCTGAGCAGCCAACATAGTACAATAATATTAGTCAGGCTGCTTTTTATGTTTGGTGACAAGAATTTTTTGTCACCTGTCTGATAAAATGTTTAGTATCTAGAAACTTTTCAAATATCTTCTTATTTTATGCCTCCGTATGCAAAAAAAAAAAAAAAGGAAACTAGATGAGGAATTATTCTTGTAGCATGAAAATTAACAGCCTGAGTAAGTATAGAGGTGATTATGAAAGAGGATACTGAATTCTTCCATGCCCTACAAACACCTACTTCATTTTGCCTGTTTATAAATTCTCTGTATCCAAAGATCTGAGAGTATTTTAAAGATGGACACATGAAACACAGATTAAGTCATCTGCACATCTATGAAGAAAGGTCTGAAACCTTCAAGGTAAGTCAGTGGAAGAGTGTATAGAACTATCACCAGAACATACACTCCTTAATCTCTTTTGTGTTTCCTTTTCTTCATTAACATGGCTCTAGTGAGTAGGCAGTGAAGGGGTACAAAGGAGCCAACTGTGCAACACATTCCCTTTTCATCAAGTCAACAGATGTTGCTTGTAAAAACGTGAAAGGGGAATAATGTCAGCCAATAGCCATAGAGAAGCCAGTTGAACTCCACATCCTGTAGCCTTTCATTGGTGTAACACTTAGAGTACAGTGTAGCTTTTAATACTTGGATTGCTGGGCAAGTGTCATGCTGTAATACAGCACCTCCTGGCAGGAGGTCTACCTTTCATGTGTATTGTAGCACGGACTATGAATATGTATTATCGTAGTCTATTCTGTGGCAGAGAATAGAAGGAGGTTCCAACAGAGTTTACTTGAGTTGTAAATCTGGGGAGTATTGTATAGGAGACATAGTAATATAATGAGTGTATGTATATGTATTCCAAATGGACTGTTAAAAGTGACCTTGAAAATAATTTCGAACAGCCCTAATGGTATGTTTTAGATATCTGTATAGAAAATGGCAACAGTGTTTGCTGCACCTTTTTATTTTTTTTTCCAAATCCACTCAAATTTGTGTAGAAATTGTTCACATGCAGAAGCCCCATATAAAAAAAAAAAAAAACAAAAACAAAAACAAAAAACCCCCAAAACATAAAAGTCCATTAAAATCCTTCTAGAAGCTTCTTATTAAAATTTTCTCCTGAGACTACAGATAGTAGTGGGGTTTTCAAAAAGATCTGGCTCCACAAGAAGTAAACATACTTTAAATGTGAAGAACTTAAAACATTTTAGGACAAGGCTTATGACAAGTTACCTCCTTGAGTTTCTGAATTCTCTAATTCTGATACAATTTATTTATCCTGCTGCCCAGAGAGGTTTCCATAAGAAATCAATTGAGTTTCAGATACACAAGAAGTGTCTACATTTTTTTTACTGCTTTAACAAATTAAGAGCTTAATAAAGTAAGTTTACACAAAATTAAAATATTGGTATAGTTAATTTAATTTTCCCCTATATTGCATAATTAAACTAGCATTTGTGAACCCATTTAAAATTTTTACTGCATTTGAACTATACAATAAAAAAATCCAATGTGGAAATATCTCTACTGAACCTAAGTCTGCTGAAACGCTTCATTTTGCTTTAACTTACTTTTCTTCCCACAATGGTCTCTCAATACCACAATGCTTCGTGAGCAATGATCGCTGTGAGCATTATGCCAAGTGACCCCAGTACCCCAGCAAACTAATACACGAGGATCTCAGCATGGCAGTGGTACTGTCTTCATGCTCAGGAGCTCTGAAGTGATGTAAGACATGGTATTAAACTGACTGGTTTTGCTTATACAAGAGCATCTAGACAAGCTCCACCTTGCCAAAAAAAAAAAAAAAAAAGGCATATATATAATAAGGGCTGTATTTGGTCCCATAAATTCTTTTTTTGTTACCTCCTGAAATGCAACATGATCTATAGTGCACAGATTCTTGCTTTCCAGGGAAATACTCATGCCATCTGCTGGAAAGTTATGGAGTTTAGCAAGTAATTTTTTCAGTAGCATTTTATTTTGCAGGTTTTTAGATGTTAAATTCTTTCACTTGTTCTTTTGTAAAGATCTGTAAATAAATGTAATCTAGTAAAAGGCACTTAAGTCAGGTGGTCTGGCAACAGACAGCCCCTTTTTGTACACTAAGAAGGTATTAAACAAATTACCAGCATAATTTGGTAATGATTATATGGGCTTAACCCTTTCAAGTGAAACAGCAATTCAGATTATCCAGTCATTTAATACTTAAGACTTCTTTCCACCCCTCAGCTGTCTGGTTAACAATACTAGTTTTATAGTATGGTTGATTGTGACAAGAAACAAATTAAAATCAGATCAGTTCATGTGGGTTACAGAAATCAAAATGATCTGCAGATGATTCTAAATTTCTGGACTAAAAGTAGTGAGATAATTCCACATTTTCAGCTCCTTGGACAAGCCTCTAGCTTGCACACACCTTAGGTCAGCCTGTAAATGCATCTTTAGATGCCCCATAATTACAGGTATCCAACATTCCTGCAGGGATAATGTAGGTTAACTATCTAATAATAAACCAAAAATGATTATGGAGTCACTTAATAACTTCAAAAAGCATTGTGCATCCTCAAAGGTTATGCAGAAAGCTCTGTCCCCTAGATTTTACTATTAAATAATCTTCAGGTTCATACCAATATGATGTAAGGAAAAAATACAGTATTCAAGCATCAAAATTCTCAGCTATATTTAGCTAATACTCACTTGCTCTCTTACTACTCCACGGCTAAGACCATTCTGAAGAAACAGAACTCATCACACACATGAAGTAAACTATCTTGCTATTCACTCCAGGTAAAGATACAGCAAAGGGATTGCAGAACACAGAGCTGAATAAGCCACCTTGAAACTGCTCCCCATGATGAGGCTTGTGATGTCCTTAGGCAGCCTCACAGACACCTTCAGTCTACCAGGGATGGACAGCTCAGAATCAGAACTGTGTAGTGGTTAGGAGCAGAAGGCAGAGTTAAGCTGGAGTTATAGGGACATGAAAATCAATTGAAAGAACAATAAAAGTAGAGCATTGTATCTTTACATCACTTCATACTCTTGCACAGAATTCCGTCTTCCAACTATAGATGAACATGCTCTGCAGATGAATCAGCAAATGAGGCTTCTGCCAGTAAGAGTCTTTATTTATTTATTTATTTACAAGGGCCAGAGTGTATATAGTTAGAGAGAGGAGTAACACAAAGAAAGTGTCTTCTCATGATTGAGAAAATGGGTAAACTGGAGGAATAATTTTGTCTCTGACACCACCGACAAGTTTGTGTATGATTCAGGGGGTCTCAGTTAAGAACAAAGATCACCGTGGATGGATACTAGACAATATGTGTGTGGGGGAATTTTTTTTTGCCCTATTTTTAATTTGTCTTTTAAAAAAGTGTATGGGCCATGGTGAGAGTTCAAGTCCGACCTCATTCCAGTAATGTATAAAGGTGGGCTAAGATCAGGCTAGAAAAGTCCTTTTGTTCTTCTATGAGGGATCGTACATAGTGAAGGCAGATGAGATGCTTTGTCACTGTCATCATGTGGCTCTGTGCTAAGGGGTATGGAAGGTTACAGCCCCGGCACTCCCCAGAGGTAGCCTTGAACCTGCTTGTGAGCAAGAATATTCATCTGCACAGCTTGGTGAGACAAGGCAAGGTTTTTTATTCAGGTGCAGGAATAACATATACACATCATATTTTTCATTTATTGGTTGCCCAAAATGAGAGAGCTCCAGGGCTGCAGAAATGCCAAAAGTTCATTAATACACTCGTGTTCCAAGTACAAAACTGCTTAGTACTGGAGGGGTGGGGGGAAATATCTTATGTTTCTTCACTTGAGTGTGCAAAATTAGTGAATGTTTTCTAAACATGGCAATGTTAATGTAGTTACACTCCTCTGATCTATGGCATGTGGATGATGCAAACAGCTGCTGCAGCATTTATGGCGGATTGTAGGGTGTTAGAGTAACAGGAGTACCATGTAAACATATAAAATGAAACTATTCATTATCAGCATTAGTGATAGGATCAGATTGAGTATGATCTATGATAACATACTAAGCAAGAGAAACAGAAATACATGTTGAATAAACGGTGCCAGCTGAGCTTAATAACCTGTAGAAAAAAATGGTATTCTGTCAAACAGTTATAAGACATCTACAGGATAAATATAAATCAAGACTGAATGTGCAATTTTAATTTAAGAATTTCCTTAGCTTTTCCTTCCCTTTAAAACATTTTAAGTCCTTTTGATGTGTTTTGAGTAAATACGGACAAGGTTTTTTTTGTTAGTACAGTGTAAAGTGAATTACAGTCGGACTGAATTGCAACATTTCACATGATTTCAGTTCAAAATATATATATATAACCAGCTTTCCTTTTTCAGCACCCTCTAGAGTAGGCAGAAAGTTCTGGCAGCCTTTCCTGTCATCTTAGATAGCTGAGGTAATAAACTCCTCTTTTTGCCTGTTTATTAGACTCCCTGATACTCTGAATGTTTAAAAATCATTATGGAAATATTGGAAAGAACTAAATTGAAATATGTTAAATTATTAAATAAATCATCATATTATAAAAACAGTCCTTAAAATGCTTTCACGTGAACACCCTACTTCAGAAAAACAGCCAAACAAACAAAAGTTTTTCCCTGGCAACCAGGTATAATATTCATATTAAAGTGTAGATTTACAAGCCTGTGACTGATGTTTTACCTACTGTAATTGCAAAAGGAGTCTCTGGAAGATGTGTTACAAGGTGTATCAGTTGTATGCTTATCACTCTTGCAAGACAATCAAGTCATCAGCTCTTGCTGCCTACCTCACAGATCCTCCATGGTACTGTCTAATGACTCTCTTTTTATTCCCTTTATAATTTTATGTCTTTTTACGCTGGTGATTTCCCTCTTGGATCCTTGAGCTGCTTCCTAATCCTATATCAATAATCTCCCTTCTGTATGCAATTTTACTGTTATTATTTTGCATAATTCTCACAGTTTGGCAAATTTTTCAGTAGTCTGAGCCAAATACATGCAGCTGGCCTGTCTCAAAACTAGCCCTTGGGCCACAGACAGCTGAGTCCATAGGAGGATAACATATAATGAAAGCTCGCCATTGTTTCCTCCCTGCCCCCAGCCATCTCTAATCTTACGCTTCGGCCCAGGTGTTTCCAAAGAGCTCTGCACCACTTCCTCCCCAGCTGAGCTTTCACAGGTAGGTTATGCAACCGCTGTTGAAAGGAAATACCGTCTCAGCAAACCTACCGGCTTTCACGAATGTGTAATTCAGGCGGTCTCCTGAAGCGCATCTGGGCCGCTTTGTGGATTGGTGGTAAAAGACTAGAATTCAGCTGCAGCAAGGGTGCAATAAGCAGTAATACATCAATAACTCCTAACAGGAAGCTAAGGGTTGCAGAAGTTACTGTCTCCTGTTTCTAAGATTGTAAATGTTGTTTTCATCAATGGCATTAAACTGCCAAGGAAAGGGCAACCATTTCCCTATCAGTTTACACTGACAATTCATTATTCATCATACAGAATTAGAGAGCTTAACTGAAGGTCTTTGAGAGAAGTCTCGAGCAATACATCATAGAAGCTTGGTAGCTGAGATGTTGTTGATTCTTTCCAAGCAAAATATATCTCTATCTAAAAAACCAAGTTTGACAGCTTTTCTTTTTGTTTTGTTGTTGTTGTTTTTTTTCATTTGTTTGGTTTTTAAACATGTAAATTTGCTTGAAAGGATACTGTAAAAAGAATTGAACATGGACCTGATATCTGGAAGTGCTTTTTGTTATTATCCTTACTAATGTCATAATATGTTTGCTGCTGCAACCAAAAACTTTGTTAAACAGGTTGGTGACGGAGGAAGACTAGTTCCAGTGCCCAGTCTCAGTGAAGCTGATAAATACCAACCTCTGAGCCTTGTGATTAAGAAAAGAAAATGTTCTCTTTCAAAAAAATTTAAATTTGCTTCAACACCTTTCACATTAAAAGATATACTTCAAGGAGAGAAAGAAATTTCTGCAGGTAAGATTTCTATCTTTCTTTAAAGCAGAAAAATGCATGTTTTCTCATAAATATAGAACAGTAGACATAGTTTAAAATGTGCAGATATTTTGATGGTTCTTTAGTACGTGGGTAGTAAAATTTGTCTTGCTGAGTCATGTAATAAATATTTAAGAAAAAAGCACAAGTCAAACAGGTAAAAAAAAAAAAAAAGGACTTTCTGGAAAAAGAGTTAAACAAAAAGAAAAATCAATTATACTAAAAAGCCTTGGTATCTTCTGAACTAACATGAAACAAATTCAGTTAAGCCTTGTGTTTTTTCACAAATCGCAACAGATTTCTGATAGATCTATTGATGTATTTTGATTAATTGCTGCTTGAAATTTGTTTTTAATGTTCACCTTTCTCTGTATACTTGCTTTTAAGTATGTAAGAATGGCCTCAGTTCTGTAGCTGTTCCACTACTGCAGCTAGTAATCCCTGTTGCTGAACTGGGCTCTGCACAGGGAGAAACATTTGACAACAGGTATCTGTCTGAAGTGATGGGGTTGCCATAAGATTTTTTTTTTCCCCATTTGTAATCTTTTTCATGTATTTAAAGACCTTAACTGTTTCTAAATTGCCTTTGCTTTGCAATATCAGAAATTTCTGAGAAGATTCTATGAGAATTAGGAGGTGCAAAATTGAATTATACTGCCTGTATTTTCCCATACCTTCCTTTGAAGTCTGTGTAATTCTTGTCTAGATGATCTTTTCTCAAAACAGTTTAATTGCTTTACTTTCTTTTGAAAAAAAGTCCATTTTGACAAAAGCATTGATCACATTAATTGCACAACAATTGCATTAATTAAAAACTCTACTAAGACAAACCAGTATAAGCACAAGAAGACAGAAATGTCAGTTGACCCCACAACAGGGTGATTCCAGCATGCAAGCATGATGAAAAAAATCAGAATCCCACTAATTCTACTAGCCTCACATTCAGGACAAGTCATCTGCCTTGTCCTGAATTAAAAAAATTGAAAGATCTCATTAAAAAGTCTGAGAAAAAGGTTTCAAAATCTCATTAAAAAGTCTCACAAAACCTTAATAGTCTTTTCTGTAAAGGTTAGATGTCATTCATGTGCAGAAAGTATTGTCTTTTAACGTAAGCAAAGAACTTCACTATTGAATTTCCTTTTTTATGTGACAAACATTTGCAATATTTTTAGAATTATAAAAAATATATGAAACTTTTTTTTTGTTGTTAGAAATAAAGACAAACAGGATTCTTACTGGTTGACTTCCTAATGTCAGTTTATTCTAACAGCTTCAAAGGTTTGGTTTTTTTGTTTTTTTTTTTTGTTTGTTTTTTTAACAGCTTCAAAGGTTTGGGTTTTTTTTGTTTGTGTTTTTTTTTTTTTTTTTTTATAAAAAAGAGTAAAACCCAGACTCTCAAATGTATTTGGGTGCTTAATCCCTGTGTTCTACCTGTTCTAGTCATTTAAATCTGGCAACCAATGCATTCTAATATTTTTTGTTAGTGTAATGGATATGTAACTAAAATTATAAAGAAAGCATTGTAGAAATGCTTTGTCACCTACCCTTTGATTGTACAATAAATTGATGCAAACTTTCAAGTAAGTCAGAATTAATATGTTGCTTTCCTTCAAAATAAACTAACATAGTCCCTGGAATTGTCAGGCATATATGGAAAGTCTGTCAGATTGTGACATGTCATGTAAAAGGCAAAGTTAATGTCACTGGCACACCCATGTCTCATTCATGTATGGCAAAAATTAAGAAGTGTTAGATTAATTTGTACTGCATCTAGACAAAATTTAGAATTCACTAATACTATTTTACACACAGTGGTTTTCATTTTGTTCTTAGTTTTAATATTCTGTGTAGCCTTCACTAAGTCATTTTGTGTTTCAGAGCCTCTGTCATTAAACCCAGAACATGCTACATGACTATTTTATACAAGTACCAACAGCATACTTACAGGTAAAAAGTACTTTAGGAGAATAAGGATAAACACAGAAATGTAGAAATAACCCTAATCACCATTTCATGACTGGGGCATATCACATGCAGGAGCATGGGCACAACTCTGCCAGAGAGAGGCACAGAAATCCCACAGACCCCTATGTGCTCTCTTTCCATCAGTCATTAGTAGGAACACCAATAAATAAGTGCTCTATGTAACTCTGAATTTCACATCAAAAAGGTTAAGCACAGTAAGAACAGTACCATTTATTCTCTTCTTGCTGTGTAAAAATACTGCCTTCAGGCTTTTTATCATGCAATACTTATCTTCTTTTGCTCAGGTGTCTCGTCTTACCAGTTGCTCAACTATGAAGACAAATCAGATGTTTCGCTTAATGGTAGAAGAGGAAATCAGATAATGAATGATGTTGGTTTTGATGTTGCTGGATCAGATTCTGTTGCCTTTAAAGCTTCATTTGGCATAGTGACCAAGCATGAAGTTGAAGTACCAACATTACTTAAAGAACTTACTACCAGGTTATATTACATATTTTGTTTTCTGGTTCCATAGTTATATTTCATACAGTTAGACTGAACCTTTGAAATGGTTAGGTTTTGATTATTTTTAGCCCATCAGTAGAAGTCACCATCTGATATTGTCCAAGTGTCTCAGACTGGTTCACTGGGGTTAGACACATGACCTTCTGTATAACATAGACTAGATTTTTTCTGAATTGATTCATGTTTGAATTGCAGCACAACTTTCAGGGAAAAAAAGAAAAGATCCAGAGAGGGAGTCCATCCAAGGTTCTACCTGTGTTACTCCATACTATTGCAAATTTGAAATTTACTTTGAATGATGTTAGCCAGCTTCGTGTTTCAGAAATAGGATTTCTTTGCCTTTGATGAACTAGAGAGCCAAATGTATTATTGGCAATGGAGGTACTTCAAGGTTTTATGATGTTATTACACAGCTTTTTCTTTGAAAAGCAAAGTAGGTTTATCTACTTGAATTTTTCGTAACCTTCTGAGGCTCTTCTCTAAATGCAGTCTCCATTTTTCCAACATCCTTGTTGAGCTGTGGACACTGAAACCAGATTTGGTGTTCCTATAGTCCTAGCACAAATGTCAAACACATAAAAATAGGATGTGAATAATTCTAGGTGTAGTTCTCTAGTTAATATTTCAAAGATTATCCCTTGGCCACAATGTCATCCCAGTGAATTCCAGCATTGCATCCCAGTAAATCATTTACTGTGCATGATGTGACATTTGGTATTTTCAAATATATATTGTTTCCTTGTAGTTATTTACCAAACAGTGCATGTCATTTTGTATCCATAACCCCTCTTGTTCTCTACCTACCCTTTTCTGGTTTATTTGTAGCTCTCAAACATTATCATTAATAATTGGGGATGGGGGAAGAGGTCCTAGTCTCCTTATAAAAATATTCAGTTATAGGAGTAAGAACCAATGTCTATAGAAATTCTCCTACAAACATTTGTTTCATGATTGTTCCGTATTTATAAGTGATATAGTTTTTTTTCAGATATAGTTGACACGTATCGGTTAACCAGTTTTTAATCTGTTGAGTGTATGCCAGCTTATATAGGCGTCATTTCTAACCAAAACACTGCATCATCATAAGCTTTATAGAAGCCCAAAGGTAGAGCATTTATAGCTATTGCTTTTTGTATTTTCCATAAATCCTTACTAAATGACATTAATTATATAATTTTTAAAAATGTTATTAATTAGGGTGTGTTGACAGTTTCTTACTGTAACTAAGAACAGTGTCAGATGGACAAACTTGGAATTTTCCAGGATGTCCCACATATCCTCTCTAACATTTGTACATTACTGACTTTACTTAAATTTTTTTTAGTGCTTCTGTTCCCAAACACTGAAAATCAGTATTAAGTTTCCAGAGACATCCTCAGTCAGTTGGTTTACTGTTATGGGACAGAAATTATGGTGATTTATTTATTGATTTAAAGTTACTAATTCTATTAGCTGCTTTGTAAAATGCTAATAATCTCTGAATTTCCTTCCTGCCTCCCTCTTGATTTTAGAAAAATAAACTTTGATCATTGTCTAGTCCATCAATCAAGAAAAAGTAAGATGGAAATTTTGTGCGTGGTCATGGAAAGTATTAGAACTACAAGGCAGTGCTCATTAACTGTCCATACTGGAATGCGTGGAGAGACAATGAGGGTAAATATGTTTGACACAGTTCTGTTACTTAAATGAACAAACATAAAAAGCTCATTTTAATAAATTTTATGGTTGGATTTAACTGCATTTTTACTAACGTAAGCTCAGAAATAATCTGAAGTAAATCAATATTATTGCACTGATGTAAAAGGAATTAAAAGTTGGTCTTCTGTTAGTATTGCTTATGTGACTGAGGAATGGGAAATGCATGAAAGGATGGCTAGACAATGAGCCATTGCTTTGGGTGAAGCCTCATCAAAAATGTGGAATTTACTTCTTAGATTGAATCTCCAATAAATGTATAACCTATCTTTCATTATTATCGTAATCTTCTATAACACATTGGAATTACAGGTTGTTATTATTTCAAGGGTTGGCATTTTACCGCCTGTCTTAGGTTCTTCCTCCCTCTTCTCTCTCTTCAGTGTGTTTGAATAATTGAACTTACAAACCTTCTGAGGTTTGCCTATTACTAGTACTTATAAATTGTTCACACAATTTTCAATGAGTGATGCAAGTTAAGTTACTGTCTCTGTATCAAACTTTATTAAACTGCAAAGTTGTTAATAGAAAATTCTTTAGTTGTGATATTTGATCTTCAATTTCAAAGCTTCCTCCTGGCATTATAATACTCAATATATACAGCTAGGGTATTAGTTTATTTTTTCATTTCAATTTGTAACTTTTTTTCTTTGTATGCTTTTCTAAATTATAGTTTCACATCATTGAAGATCAGAATTATAAAGGGCGGGACAAAGCCATTGTTTTTCCTGCACATACAACTATTGCTTTTAGTGTATTTGAACTTTATATTCATTTGGATGGTAATTTTGGTAAGTGATGTGAATTACTGTCATTAGTGCTATTATTTATACTGATTTGAGTCTTTAAAACAGTTTTCTTGCTCTAATATACGTAAGCCCCAATTCCATACAAAGCTATGCTTTAATTTTATGCACATATGTAGTCTGACTTTATCAGGGAAACAATTATTGAAAAGATGAACAAGGCAGGTGCGAGAAAAGAGTCTGTCATGGAAACATTTTTTAAAAATTAAGTATGATTTTGTAATTTTAAAAAATAAATCCTGCAGTTGCATGGAACAAAAAATCACTTTCTTTATATTTCTAGACTGTAAGTAACAGGCTTATTAGACCACCTGATCAATTTTACATAAAATAGGCAAGTAAAAAGACCCAAGTAAAGAAAAAAGTGTGCAGAACTACTAAACTAAGCTAACATTTTTTCTGTTGGGGCTTTAATTTCAATCCGATACATCATTACCACATATAGATATATGAAGATATTTAGGAAGAAATAATCATAATTACTGGAAACTATTAAAAAAAATTGCACAGCTCCTGTAAGTTTTTCTCCTTTTGGGGAAAGGATAGTTGCTTATGTATTGACGTTTTTTGCACTAATTAAAGTGTAGCCTGTAACATTATCAGTGTTCTTAACATGGTTTGTGATAAACCGGGAAGTCAATTTAGGATTTGATTTAGTACTTGATAATATCAAATGCAAAACTCTCCACTGACTAACGTTAGATAAAGTTTAACCACCAGATTGACATGCATTTAAATACAGAAACCTCTGTGAGAGTCACTCAACTGTTTCAGGGACGGCGACTCTATAACATTGTGGCTTTCTGTAAATAGCAAGATAAGAGACCTGGTTAGGGAAGTAATCTCTGTCTCTGCAGATCTGTACAGCACTATGTTTTAAAAGTTGCAAATAGCTCTGTACCCTTTGGCACACACAGTATAAAACTTCCATGATAGGCAGTCTGCATTGTAAAGCATCTTTTTCCTGAACTGTGAGATACATTTGCCTTTCTGTAAAAACTTTAAATATACTCCAAACCAGGCATAGTTACTGGATTAAAAGAGGTAATAGTGTGGTACTTCTTTATATTCATTTCCATAATGCTCAACATTAATTTCAGTTTTGGAAGTGTTTTAATTTTATTTTATCTTTATGCAATGGTAGGTACATGCAGAGCATTTTTCCTAAAGTAATTATCAGAGAAATAATCAATGAAGCTGATATTTGTAATTGCATAATTAAAGAGAATTCTCAATTGAGAAAGTTTAAAACATGTTTTGTTCAGTTCCTTGTGATTGATTATCCTTATATTTCACTTTAAAGGTTTTCTTTCAAGTTATGGTTAGAAACTTAGGTGATACTTATTTTTGTAAAAAAACAATGTTTTAGTAGTTGATGCGGTGTTGGAAGAGATGACTATAGAACTCAGAGCCTTCCTTATTATTTTTCATTTTTAGTTTCAAATGAGATCATAGAAATGTTTCTCCTTCAGAAGTAGGGCTTCCATTTACATGATGCTGTCTTAGTCCATTTAACATGGCCATAAATTGTGTATAGACCAAAACAAATTCTGACGATGTATGTTGAAAGACACCAACATTCTAAAATTCTCATTGAATTTGTGTCACTTGATTTTGGGGGCTATTACTGTGTGCAGACTTGTATTAAAAAGTGGTAGTAGCCATTAAAAACATTAGCACAGCTGAATTTAATCACTGTTAGCTTTATAGATTAGGAAGCATGTTGAACTCTGTTGTGCAATTATTGCTTTTACATTTTGTTCTTCTAAAAACTAATTTTTAATTTTTACAGAGCTCTGTGTGACTCCAATTTCAAAAGGAGGATTTGAAAAAGAGAAATCTGGATCATCTTCCCTGACCAAATTAAGGAGGTTAAAGGCTAATCTGTTTCATCGAAGTATGACTTTTGATATTTATATCCCAATGTGTTAGTTAATTCATGAAGAATATATTTTTGTTTCTTTATTTTGTAAGATGAATGCTTAAAGAAAATTTTGGTGGAAAATGTACCTCTTAATTTATTGTGTATTGAAATGATTGTAAAGTTATTAAAATTTATATTTGAGAATCTGACTCTTTTAAAAATAACAAAATTATGGTATTGATGTTCATTAAAACTCTAAAGATCTTAAAATAAAAATTTATGGCTGATGATAAACTGGTATGGAGTACTTACACAACTACAGTTAATATTAAGCCTATTTCATATGCTTGCCACTTACAGCTAGTGTTATGCAATGCAAATTATAATCTATAAATAATACTTCAGAGCAAACTCTTTAAGTTTAAATATCAAACAGTATTAATTTAAATATTTGAACGTACTCTTTGGGCTATATGTTCACATGGCAGGACATGGGCAAGACACCATCAGAGTTCTCTTTTCTCTTTTCTCATTGTGATGTGAACACAACATCCAAAAAAACTGAGTGTCACTGTACGTGGCTGTACTTTCTTCAGAACCTATATTTTTAACACTCCTTGGTCTAAGTATTTTGGAAATCTGCAAATCTGAGTGTGAAGATAACTGTTGAGCAGTAAAGACATCCTTCTAAAGGCTGCTCTGTACAGGTGTCCTTGCTCCATTGTATGTCGTTCTTGATCAAAGGCCTTTTATGGACCAAGCCCTCAGTGCCACTCCAGTCCACACTAAGGGAACAAATCTTCAGTGGGTATGATACAGCTCAGTAGCTGTAGCTGCCTAAGGTATTGTCATCCAATCTAAACTAATCAGTACCTGAAGAGAAAGGAAAAAGGTAGGTAGTTCCAAAAGTGATTCGTTCCTGGGGTGTTTGGATGCTCAGGAATCTGCTAGGTGGTCACCATAGAATCCTCCAAATTTTCTAAACCTTTTAAGTGTTGGTGGGTTTTTTGGTAAGTACTAAGGAAAAAAGTGAATTTACAATTTTTAGAAAATAAAATTATAAACATGGTTAAACAGGGAAGTACACAGATGTGATTTGATTTGGCACCCATTTTTCAAAAACATGCCTCATGCCTACCTTTTTAGGTTTATTTCTTAAAATATTATAATCATGTAGGTCATATACAAAAAATTTCTGGCTCTTATCAGTGTCTTCTGTGAAATTAAAGAAAAATTTTCATCACAGAGAGCTTTTGGTGGGAAGTAATCACAATGTGGCATGTTTAGAATGGTTTAATGAATCAGTTGTTATTTCCATAATTAGACTGACAGTTTGTTTTGTAAACCTTTCATAATATAATGATAAATCATTGCTTCTTTTTCGTTTGCGTTCTTTTTCAGATAAAAGACTAATGGATACCTTTTCTAACTGTGATGTTTACTTGGAGGACCTTTTTACAGATTATTATGAAAAAGCTGCGAGCATGACTGATCTCTCTACAAGCTATCTCAGAGAAGGGTCTCATGTCCGAATTAATTTACTGAATAACAACATCCCCAAAGGTCCCTGTGTCCTATGTGGACTGGGTAGTTCTAGAAGGGAGACTGTCTACGGATGCCTAGAATGCTCCTTTAATGGACATAAGTATGTACGACTGCATGCTGTGCCCTGTTTTGACCTCTGGCATAAGAGAGTAAGGTAACTGAGCTAGGTAAGAGCCTGTTGTCACAGACATGGGCGTAACTGTGCCACAAACTTTTCAGAATTAGTAAATATGACTCAAATTGTTGAAATGCAAAATGGTGAAAGTGCAAAACATTTTATTACACTATTATTTTCAAATTATTTGCTTCATAGTCAATGACCTTTTACTTGAAAATGCCTTCATGCTTTCCTTCTTTCTAGAACCTTCTCCTTCTACTACCATGATAATAAAAAAACGTACTTTTAAACTGAATTTTCATAATGTCAAAATATATGCTGGAACTTAAAGTAAGTTGTTTACACAAACTTGTTAAACCCCAAAATGTTGCCTTTATCTACACTGGCATATGATGGTAAAACGAGAATATTTGTTAATAATTTAGTGTTCTCATGAATGTTTAATTGAAGTATCAGATTAAAAAACATGCTAAAACTTATCTCAGTCTAATGTTTCATTTACAGAAGGGAACAATTAAAACTAGGGACAGGCATTTCATATTAGGATGTCATTACCTTCTGTCAACAGTTTGTTTGGATTACTAAAAAGTACCAGCCAGTACACCTTCTGCAGTTGTGTTTTAGGTCATAGCTGCTCTTGACTTTCCTTTACATGTTCAGAAAAAAAATTGCTTAGCAGAAAATGTTTTGGAAGCTTACGAAGATAACAGAACTACATCCTTCCAACAAGGCTTCCGGGGTGAAGGTCTTTGACCAGCAGATCTCAACCACAGAAAGTTCAATCTTTTGAAAGTATAAACACCAGAAGGCACTACATAATTATGTCCAATACTGAGATTGGGATTGCTGTTGGTTGAAGCTCTCCCCATGCTATCTTAAACAGAAAAACATTTTTTTAATTGTTTTCCACTTTTAAAAATTATTTTAAGGATAATCCAGGTATAGAAGCTTTTTTACTTGTGCTGACACTTTCACTGTGTAAATCTGGTTATTACACATTGAAATAAATACAGCCACTGCTTTTCACATGAGAAGAGTAAAGTATGCTACACAAGTACTGACGACATCTGCATCAGCAGAACAGTTAACAAGCCTGAAGCACTGTCTATTAACAACTGCTACTTTGTATTTTTCCAAAGTGAGGGAAACCATAATGATGTCCAAATAATTACTTATGTTTATATAGAGTATCTCCCATCTTCTTCCACCTCATCCAAGTAAATCATGATAGTGCAGATTTTTAACTAGGTGCTGATGAATAAACTGGCTAACTTAATAATTTTACCAAGTCAAAGTTTACAAACCCACTCAGAATACTCTTTTTCAAGAACAGCAAATTATTCATGTTAATATTACATCCAATAGGTTATTTTAAGTTGCTTTAAAAACATTTATGTTTTTATCTTGACATTCCATACCCTGTGTTCATTTATTTTAAGGCCTTTTATAGTTAAATTTGCTGCAAACAGCAATTCTTCAAGAAGCTAGCCTAGGAGCCTGTAGAGGTTTAACAGAGTTACCTTCCTGGGATTCTGTTTTCCCCTTTGATTTTACAGGGGATTGAGAAGTTATGTTCTAACTATGTCAACAGGTACTGGAACCATTTTTGTGTGCTTGATAGGACAGAAATAATTATTTTCATCAGTATTTTACACAATGAGAAAGACTACTGAGCAATACTGGAGATTAAAATAATAGATCATGGTGTTTTCCAATTTTATTTCTTTCTTTTGAGATATCTAACACATTTTATTAATTGAATGTTAAAAATAAGATTTTTACAGTCACCTTAAGAGATATAAAAAGATGCCACTATAAAAAAAAATACAAAATTTCTATGACAAAGTAGTATTACTTCAGTGTCCAGAACAGAGACAAATATTTTTTTAAGTACTTAGAGTTCATCATGCTGGTAGACATTGTACTCCTTTGCTGATATGAAACCATCTCCATCATGGTCATTCTTCTTAAATATATCAGCTAAGATTTCATCATGGACTGAGGGATGACGTTTTTTGCCATCTCTTGCAAATTCTTCTTTCAAATACTGGCTTATCTAGAAGAAAAGAAAAAAGTCCAACCATTGTGGCTTTTACAGCTGTACTCAACAGCTATCTTCAAGGACACTTGGAGTATATACACAAATTATTGTGACTCCAGTGCAGACACATCTAAAGTTTGTTTCCCAGCAAGCCTGAGACATTCCAATATATTAATCAAAGCAAATTTCCAGATTCCACAGTGTAGTTTTTGTAAGCATACAGAAGCTTTACATGATGAACTGCAGCAGAAGCAGATCATGTAAAGATAACACCGATGCAGCCATATCTATAGTTTTATAAATCATTTATTCCAAATTAGTTACATCATATTACCTCAAGTTCAGAGAGTTTTCTGTCACTGTCCTTGTCTATCTGATTAAATGCTTCAACACTGCGAGGTCCCTTGTTTACTGCATAAAGTTCAATCTCAAAAATCAATGTTGCATTTGGTGGAATCTTGCCCTGTGCTATGAATAAAAGGAAAAAAAAGCATTTAAGAAATCAGACACTATGGTCAGGGATCACACATATGATAAATTCACATGCAAAGTGTCTTTGTCTTTTTATTACAAAAGGCTGTGTTAATACTGAGTTTAAACTCTGAATTTAAATATTATACAGCTAGACAGGAAGATTGTTCAGATTGTGTTAGATAAATGATTTTGAGAGAGATCTGCACACAATATACTTCCCTGAAACAAAATTATATTGCTAATATCAATTCAGGTACTTTTAAAAATTAAGAGAAGGGTTTGTGTTATGAAAAGCAAGTATGTCTAAAGTTCTCATTCTTTCACATACTGTCATATGATGGGGCTTATTGAGAGACTGATGCGTCTCTTAGATATCTGCAATCTGGTTTAAAAGATTACAGTAATAGACCAATGCTCGTATGTATTTTCTGTCTGAAGCAACAAGCAGGCAGTATCAGATTTTACCAACTTGCTATGAATTATACCTATGGTTAAAGGATTTGATATAAAGTTGTGTTTAAAATATATATCTCTTTAGAAAGAAGCAATAGAACATAGATCATCTGATTCACAAAAAAAAACCCCAACCCAAACCCCAAGCTACTGAAATATTTTGTCTGGTCTACAAAGGAAAAAAACATGTTAGACTTCATTATTCCTGTGTCAAAGCATTTCCTGATATCTCATGTAAAAACTCCCCTGCCTTTAAACACAGATCAATGTATCATGCATCTGGCAAAACAAGGGAACTGAAGAGATACAGTAACAAACTAATGAGGTCTGAAAAGTAGTGCCAAAAAAGCATCAAGAAATCATGCAGTGTAAAATTAAAATGTAAACATGCAAGTTGCTTCTATTCATAGCCAAAGCCAGTGAGCATGACATTGTGACGTCAGAATTTTGACAGAATTTTGAGCTTGTGCCCATCCTTCGTAAACTGAAGAAAAACTAAAGTATCTCCTTTGTTTATAAACAGAAGGTAAACAAAACTATTCCTCACAGTACTCATCTAAAATATTCATGGTAAAAATGACAGGTTTCAGAATTCAAATGATTTTAATCTTACAAGCTGTAAACATGTATAAGTTTTAAATATATCTGACTATACTAACAAAAGAAAGATACAATACTACAATTCATTGCCAGCAGTTTACACATATACATACCAACAAAGGAAAGATATGTAAAGATTTAGAAAGCCACATGCATCTTTTCTAATTCAAGATTAGGCAGGCATCTTCCCCAGCATGCAGGAATACGCTGAGACAGAGGACAGGTATGCTGTAGGGAAATAGTACTTTCTTGAAGTGCTACCTAGAACAAAGAGTTAAGACTAATATTAGGAGTGAAAGAACATACTTTTATTTGTGTCAGTCTTTTTCTTTGTTGTTAAGAGACTTACTTCTTAAACATTATGCTCAAGGGTAAAAATTTATTCCTAGTAAAATTCACTGGCTACAATGGAATTGTATGAAAGACAAAACTGGTGCATGGAATTCTGACATAATATCACTACCAAACTATTGTAGAGCAGGAGGTATCTTTTCACATAAACTACAACACACAAGTCAGAGCTGAATTGAAGTTATCTACAATTAAGAGTGCTGAAACACTGACTAAAACTCTGACTGGAACTTTTTTTTTTTTTTTAAAGTAGACTGTGGACGTAAGCATCATAAATTCAAATCAGATTTTATGCATTGTACTGTTGCAATTATTATTTAATGTGATGATATCATCCATTAAGTATCCAGAATGTGAGCAGTATTTTAAACAAATTATTTCTACTTAAATTAATTCTGTGGCATGCACTGGCTTACATTCCATTTTGCTCAGAAGACACAGAACGTCATTAAAAGGCTAAGCAGGCAGGAGTCAAATAATAGAAACTAACCATGAATAGAATGTAATAGATTAAGACAGAAAATGCTGATATGAATCATGAAGATCTTCCTTTTACTGTCAATTTTTCATATTATGGCAATACTTGGAAAAACACATCAGGTGCCATGTACTGAATTGTAACACAAATGGCAAGGCCTGGCTATGGGTTCTGTGATGAGGACTACTTAAACTGCACAGGAATGAGCAGGATTAGGCTGCACAGCTGCATCACCTCCAGTGCCTCCAAAAATAATGGAGCACCAATTCTTATAGTCATTTACAATACTGTATGTTTGAAAGGGTAAAACAGAGGAAAGACAAAGTTTAGTACTAAAACTTTTTTACCGTATCCTTGCTGTCCATATGCTAGTGATGGAGGAATGATCACTTTCCGTTTCTCTCCAGGACACATATTCATCATAGCAATATCTAACCCTTTTATGACTTGTCCAACACCCAGAACGAACCATTTTGGATGACCTTCATTTTGCGTCCGACTATTAAAAATAATTGGGAGTGGATAATAGTGAATTTAGTAATTATTTTTTTAAATATATAAAAATAACTTTAAATTAGCAGTCAGTAAAAACATACATTAAATTTTTAGAACACAAGAATGTTTAGAGTGCAAGAATATAAAGTATTAACACTGGCTTCCTGCTACATTTATAATTAATTTAAGGTCAAATCTTGAGATGTGTAAGGGGCAACTTCCTTCTGAAATCAAAAAAACAGGTAAAAAAAATAACTTATTACAAAAACATCTGATCTTCCTGATCATATACACTGCGTGCCAGTAAGTCTGTAAGAAGAGGAGTGCTGGGAGAAATTCACTGCTAGGAAGCGAGAATGTTGTCAGTAGTTAACACCACTGTAGGATGGGATGGGACAGAGCGTGCACGGGTGTGTTTCGGGAACCTGGCAATCCTGGTTACAGTACTGTGTGCTCAACTCACCACTCTGTTCTGTTTAGCTATTCAGTGCTTGAGCCAGATTCTGGTCCTATGAGGTGTCCCCAGTATGGCAGCTGCACTGATCAGCAATTGAAAAGCAGGAAGCTCAACAGTCAGAGGGCAACATTGTACGTACCAAAATCTGTCACTTCAACAGGCACAAAAAATGCAAGTAAAACGGTGCTGTTAAATGGAGAATTATCATCTATAGATATTTTTCTTAAATGATATAAGTAGGGGGTGAAGGAGTCAAGATTTTGTAATAAACTAAGCCACTGTTTGTAAGATCTGTCCAAACATGGGTAAGGAATAAGCCTGAAGGAAATAAAAGACTCTCATCCATCGTTCTACACAGGTCGAGTCCTGCCTCGCTAGTAGCATGCGCCGCCATTAAAAGCAAGGCACTGTAAAAATAAAGCTTTTGCACAATGGTTTCTGTGCAAAGCAAGCTAAACCAAGCTGAAGCTGCCTGAAGATGGATGGACGGGACAAAGTGTGAAGACAATCCCTAAATACTAACATCGGGTCAAAGAGGAAGGCAGCACAAACCGAGAAGCGAAGCAGCGGCAGGGAAGGGGCATAAAGACTGCAAACCACTCGTGTAATGCAGCTGCCCTGCACAATGCCAACTGTGCAGAAGTGCATGCTGTACTCAAGTTTCTGTCTGAAATAGTCAGTCTGCATCCCTACCAGGAGCTCCTTCTCCAAACCTGAGTTTCCTTGCACGGATTACAGCACAGAGGTGACAGGCGATAGCACGGTGATTTTTTTTTTTTTTTTTTTCAGTCTGCCAAAGGGGTTCTCCATGTGAGGTGTGGGCTACACGCAACCCTCCCAGTCGGTGTCCTTTACTGGCGACAGCCGCCAGTCTCAAGGTTGGCTTTGATGTCCAGCTTAGCGCTAGCTGCTGTCGACCCTAGGTAAATCCTACATCCTTCAACACTCGGATGAGGAAAAATAAAGGCTGAGATGGGGGGGATATAGCTAAGGTCTCCATGCTGGGAGCGCAGTGGGTCCCGCTTGACCAGCTGGTTGCCCGTGGGCCCGGCTCGCCCCTCAGCCGGGGAAGCGGGACCCACCGTTCCCGCGGGCGGTGCCACGTACGCGGCCGGGCTCGGGCCCGCCTCCCCTGCCACCCCACCCGGTGCCCTTCGGGCCCACCTGCAGTAAAACTTGGATCCGTCGCTGGCCAGGAAACCGTCGTAGTGCGCGTTCAGCAGATCCCCCTTCTTGCTCTTCGGGCTGCAGGTCTCGGGGAGGTGCAGCACCTCTATTTTAACCTCCTCCTCCTCCGCCGCCGCCGCCGCGCCGCCTGCGGCCTGCGCCGGGGCCGCCAGCAGGGCCAGCGGCAGGAGGAGCAGGGTCACCGCGCGGCCCATGTCGCCTGCGGGAGGCCGCCGGCGTGGCACTGCCGCCGCTGGGCCGAGGGGCTGGGCCTGCGTGGCGGTACGGCCCCAGTCCCCCCGGGCCGGCCCGCCGGCAGCCGCGGGGCGGGCGGTTCCTCGGGCCCGGCCCCCTCCGCTCAGGAAGTGCAAGGGCCGTCCGGCACCCAGCGCGGGGGGAGCGGGGCGGGGGGTGCCGGGGAGCGCGGCCGGGCGCGCATGGGAGGTGCGGAGCGCCCCGCGGGGCGGGTGGCGCCGCCGGGGCCGCCGCGGAGCCGCCGCCGCTGCCGCGCCAGAGCTGAGCGGCTCCGCCTCCGCGCGCGCAGGGAGCAGTAGCGGCGGGGACAGGAGGGGGAGGGAGGGGGAGCGCCCATCCCCGCGGCGGCGGCTGCTGCTGCTGCTGCTGCTCTTTCCCCGCGGCGGAGCAGGAGGATGCGGCCCGGCATCGGGCTCTGAGCGATGGAGGGGGTCCTGTACAAGTGGACCAACTACCTGGCGGGTGAGTGGCGGGGGCCGGGGCCTGAGGGGGGCGGCGGTAGGGGCTGGGGCCTGCGCTGCTGGGGAGGGGGGGGCTTGGGCTCGTCAGTGAGGCGCGTCCGTGCGTCGGGGAAGGGGGGTGGGTCCGGGCGAGCTGTTTTTAACGCGCTGGCTGAGAAATTGCTCGCCGTTTGTGTTCGGAGCCAAGCCGCTGGGGAGCGGCGGGGGCTGAGGGCGGCTGGCGCGGCGGGCCGCCGGCTGCGGGGGACGGCGCATGAGGGCGGTCGCTCCGCTCCCCGCGCGTTTCCGTGTGTGTGGCGTGGCGTGGCGTGGCGTGGTGTGGCGTGGCGGGGCGGCAGGGCCCCAGCCGGGCCGAGCCCCTCGGCGGCTCCCTCGCAGCCCTGCGGCACCGGCGCGGCGCGGCCCGGCGGCCTCACAGCCGCGGCGTGCCCCGGGCTCCCCCTGGGAGCTGGGTGGTCAAGCACCGCTCGGGACCTGGACTGCGCCTTACCCAGCTCGTGAGGGGCCCTTGACAGGACAGGCTGCAGGGAAACGCCATCAGAAGTGCCCCGTTCTAACGGCCCAGCTGTGGGGTGATCCCCTCCACCTCCGTTTCCTCTCAGAAGTAGCTTTATTTTGCAGCGTACAAACTTGTAAGGTATCCTTGCTTGCAGTTCAGGAATCGTTTAGGATTACGTCTTTAAATCTTAAGTGCTAAGTGTAAAAAGCCTGAGTTCTTTTTTAGTTTGCTTTTGGATGGTAATTTTTTGATGTCTGATACTCCTTTATCCTAGCCTGTAAAACACATAGGAAAACTTGGTTCTCAGTGAAGTTTCACGAAATGTGTTTTGAGAAGTGCTTTAGACAAAAGTGCAACAAATGCCTGCATTTGCCATCACAGCTCTGGTTTTGTTTGCATCATCCTCTGTGGTAATAAGATACTGCCTCCCTCTGGAGATAGCAATGGATAGATGGTACTGTCAAGGTGAAACAGATTTCTCTTGACACTGTAATAAGACTAATTGTCCCTCTAGAGCAGATCAGTGTTGGATCATATACCTTGCTTAATCAGGCCTCACGTTTGCTTTGACAATATCTTTTTTGCCCTCTTGTTCTTCAGCACTTCACGTGTACTGTTCTACTTCTGCATATTCAGATTTTGAACATGGAGTGGTGTGAAACTCAATCTTGAGGGTTTATGAAACGTGGGCCACATTGCATAGATTGTGTGCACTTGCTGTGAATTGAAGTGTACAGAGCATAATCTTGCATTATTCTGAGCAAATACGTGTCCACGTATACTGGTCTTCCAGTGAAAGAGAGCAGTTGTACTGTAATTAAATAGATATTTAATAAGATATTTTTGTCACTTATTCACAGTAAATGTGGATAAAACACATACAGGAAAAGTATAGTTATGAAAGAAATAATAAGTACAAGTTTCTTTTAAAAATAGAATGGAAACTGTCACTTTCACTTATGTGGCCAAAAATGTTACTGTAGCAAAAGGTAAAAGGTCACAGGTAATGAGCCCTTGTGTTTGATATAAACTTCCCATCTGAAGTCTGTTATTTAATATGTAAATACTCAACAGTAACCGAATGCTATACAGACAATAGACTGGCATATCAAAGTGCAGCTGAATTCTGCTGAAAGTCAGTAGCCCTCAAAAACTGCAAACTGCAGGACCCTTCCTTCCCTGTGTGCTGGCCAGCTGTGAGCATCTGCTCCATCTGCTCATGCATTTCAGAATTACAGTGTGTCAGGAATTCCCAACAATTTCTGGACTATAGAATGGCAGAAAAGTAAAAAAAAAAAAAAAAAACACTAATCATATTAGTGAAGTTTTAAATTTTATTAGCAACTTTTGTGTTAGTCTGCTATCTATTTTTGTAGCCAGAAATAGGCTGTAGTATTTGTTGCTGATGGTAGAAGCCAAGCAGCAAAAGAGCTTGTTGTGGTTACTGAAGGATTATGGAAAACATTTAGTTTCTTCCTTCATTAAAAGAAAATCAGAAATACACCTTTATTTTTTCTTCCCCTTAAATAATATTTGTCAATCTAAGAATTTCTGAAGTACAAATTTGACAAAATATTTAACAAACACAGGATGCTATGTTTGCCCAATTTAAAATCAGAAGAGGTGTTTTTCTTCAGCTTGCTTCTGTGAGGCACTTGGAGGCTTAAGTCCTTTGCATCTCTTTTTTTCCAATACCAGCATAAAGTGTGGCTGGAATAATCATCTGTGTAGGGTCCCTTTTTGTCAGAATCGGACTGTTGAGATAGGCATTGACTTATTACCTGTGCATGCAGTTTGGAGATAAGGGCAGCACAGAGTCAATGTTTTGCAACACAGGGTAGCAGGGAAAAAAAAAACATCAGTGCATTTCTAATCTGCATTTTGCAGGACAGAGTCTTCAGTAGTCCTTTCATGACTGCTTACATATTCTTTGAGTGTAAGTGGTGATGCATACATACAATTTGAAATATTTCCTGTGAGAGTTGGTATCCCTCAGTATTTGTACTTTCTTCCATTCTGTTTTTGTATCTATGGATCTGCTTATTAGTTACCACTCTGCATTTTGAAAGACACAGATGCTTATCATGGAATTGTAACGTGATGTAGTGGGGCCTGGTCTTACACTTCTTGAATTAGTGTTAAAACTTGTAATGATTTAATGTGAGTAATATTTAGCTGATTTTCAAGAGTCTGGTACCTGATTAAGCCTCTTGTGTTATAATAGACTGCTGCTGAATGGCTGCAGCTTGCTCTGTTGGAATGGCAGCTGGTAAGTGCCATGGATCACACCATCGTATGACCAAATACGTTGAGTTCTTGGCCGCGCAGTTATTGCCATTCCTAACCTTAAACCAAGCAGGAAGCTGAAGTTTGATGTTGAGTTGTAAAATAGAGGGATAATCTGCTACTGTTGTACAGCTAACCCAGACTGTAATGGGCCAATGGAACTGTTATGCTCTACTGGAGTGTTTTAGCTCTATGTTATTTTTCGAAACAGCTGATTTACCAGGCAAAATGATTTGCATTTAGTAGTATTAGACATGAGGGCACCTATTCCAATGAGTGTTGAATTTTATGCAATAGCTGTTAAAAAAAGGAAGATAAAAGGGGAAAAAAAGGAATGCTAATATACTTTAATATGAGGGCCCATGACAGTGATTTACTGTGTGGTATAATGCTGCACAGACTTCTTGCATAGACTGCTCTGTTTTGTAGATGTAGTGAAGTCAGAGATCATTATATAATTTTGCTAATGCAAAGCTGGTGAAAACCTTCATAGATGAGCCTGGTGTATGCTATCCTCACAAATGGACCTAGGCATTTTAGCCATGTCTCAGTTCTCTGTGCAATGCCTGATGTTGCTGAGCAATGGAGCTGGGCTGCTTTCAGAGAAAATGGTGTGTCAGTAGTTAAGTGTGAAATACGAAGTTTTCACTGAAATACAGTAGGCAGAGAAGACCATAGCATATCAGTTGGTGACATCAATTATTTATTTAAACCTTACAAATAAGGTCCTACAATCTTAAGAAAGTCTACCTGAAAAATATACGTGAATGAGAATGGCTCATCAGAGGTAGGTAATTTATCAGCCTTCAAAATAATATTCCTTGGTTGGTAAATTAAAAAATAATTTTGCTCTAGAATGGAATATAGTGAAAACTGAAATATTGATGATGTATGAAAGGGAGTGAAATATCCATATAATACTAGTCTGGCTATAGAGTGGCTCTGGTCTTCAGACTGTGCAAATTGTTTACTTGCTGGTGCATTACAAGAGTAGTTTAATGTTTGCATTTTTTTTATAAAAGTTTTAACAGCCAAATAGCTGAATTTGATTTGCAATTTAATAGTTAGACTAAACTTTCATGTTTTTGATCTCCCTAGGTTGGCAGCCTCGGTGGTTTGTTTTAGACAATGGGATATTGTCATACTATGATTCACAGGATGATGTTTGCAAAGGCAGCAAAGGAAGTATAAAGATGGCTGTGTGTGAAATAAAAGGTAAGAATTAATAGATCTCTGCTTGAGGAAATTTTAGCTGACAGGGAAATAGGAAAGATCACAAATCATCTACTTTGCATCACAGGTTTTTCCTCCTATATTTTTGTTTCTCTATAGTCCAATGTGACTGCTTCATAGTTTGCAAATAATAATGAATGTGAATTATGACGTGGTGAAAAAGAAAAAATGTTTTTGACTGTTAGAGCTCTGTTCTGAGATTTAGAACCCACCATATATTTATTCTTGTTGTAAATAGTTGTGTGCCTGTGTCTTATGCTTGAAGTTACCGCATCTAGTTATTTAGTTCTACAGCTTTTCCCTCTTGTGACCAGGGATAAGACTGAATCATGAATGCCAGCTTTTTAGGAGAGCAGCAGCAGTGACCCAAAAGGGGAGATTCTTATAAACCAGAGATGTTTAGTCTTTTAATTTTTTACTTTTTTCTTGTAATTTTTACTTTTGTCACTGTTAGAAGCTGCTCATGTGCATAGATGATGGATGTAATGGAGTTAGAAGTGACCTGTGTGTGTTCACTGTGAGTTTAGTTTTTAGTGTATTGTAAGCTGTAGGTCAACCTCCTTGGCTAATAGCAAGGCATTGTCTTAACTCTCCA